TCTCCTGTGCCATGTCTGAACCGTTGCTAAAACTGCGACAGGTGCTGCCAGTATCAAATTGTCTGCAGGTGTGTTCACTTTGTACAGACCATCATGCAGATCAGCCGTTGCAATTAATTCATTTTGTGCAGAGTATACTTTATAAATATTGCTCTCAAATCTGACTGTATTACCACTTTTAATTATCTGGCTAATCGACAATAAGTTGGTTGTTAGTCCTGGAACACACATAACGTTCTTAACGGTAACATCTAAACACTGAGAATCTACTAATGTTTTCAATTCTACATCGCCTATATATTTAATATGGAGCTTTTCTTTGTTAGCTACCATAATCTCGGGTAAATCGGGATTAGCCTTGTTTATTACCCAATCTTCGTTTGCGGTAAAGTGACAACTGGCTCCCGAATCGATGTACCAATCTTTTCGGCTAAAGTTACCGCCGGAAAACACAACATTAAATAAGTGTTTATTCTTTTGTTGCATACCTGTGTCTTTATCGTCATTGGGTTGCCTTAATTAGGGACACTGACTTCGAAAGTGCCCTTTTTCCTTGCAATACCAGCAGTTTACGTTTCTTTCAGAACTTGACATGTTTACATTTTTATTTCTATCTGATTTGCCAAAATTTCTTCTGTCAGACTTCCAAAAATGTCTATGTGATGCCTCCTTTTGGTTGTAGATTGATCTATTGACTGCAAACGCCATACTGTTACTGCTAACTTCACTCTCCACATCAAGCAATCTTATCTTGATGGAATCTGTGGTTATTTTCTGGCCGCTGTTCTCCAGCGCCATTACCATCGGTTGATATTTTTTCGTTAAACCTGCTAGCATAATGGATGCCAAAAGTTCATCTCCAATGTCCAAGCCCGTGCCACTGAGTTTTTGTCCAATCTCCACGATTTTATTCACATACATTGTCATTGAGTCCCATTCTTCTAATCGAGTCGACATTAAATTTCTTAATAAACCGATTTTTCGTGTTTGTCCCGAATCGTCAAATAGTCTTTTCAGCTTAATCCACAATTCCACAGTCGTTGTTGTTTCCTTAATATGCACATATAGCGATTAGTCAATTGTCAGTATTATTTTTGCCTTTGCTTTCGCATCGTGATCTTCGACTACTTCACTGATGCATTTTCACAAACCTTCCAACACTAGAAAATTCTCGATCGCAAAAGACCATTCTGCGAAGTTTTCGCGGCCCTTTAACTTCGGCACATTTACTATGAAATTCGATCCCATTTTTGAAATCCAAAAAACTTGAATTCAGTCGCAAAAAAAATGTCATTCAATTCCACAGATACCCACGCCACGATTGTACGTCTGGGCCCATAACCTGTTAAAATGAAACACACACTTGAAGGTTTTTCAATCGACTAACTTCTTTATTGCCAAAAGCTTCACTCTACATTTTGACAATGCGCCACTCATGGTAGGCAACTTAAACTAAATATTTGGTACTATCCTAGTTTTTTAACACCCCCACTTAACAAATATTTCCTTACAAATTTATAATACCAAACCCAAAGCAGTAGCAAATTTCTGCTGTCGGCAAATATTTTAATTTAACTTGATTTGCAGCAACAACCTCTCGAATAAAATGGTACTTAATATCACCGTAGGCGCTCGTCTTTACTCATCTTTGGTGGTAAATTTTCAACAAGAGATACCATGTTTCTTTTGGAGCGACTCCTCGACTGTAGTACATTGGATCCAACAAAAGGAGCAGTGTTTGTGTGGAACCGCGTAGACGAGATAAGGAAGTTGCATTCGGCGGAAGATTGGCGACATTTGCCAGGAGTGTATAATCCAGCCGAATTACCATTCCGTGGGTGTTCTCCGAAGCAGTTACTCGACTTAAGATGGTGGGAGGGACCACGATGGCTTTACGCCGATCCAACTGCCTGGCCAACTGCAGTTGAACTTCCCAACGAGGAAGAGATTAATGAGGAAAAGAAAAAGAAACTTCTCACTACGTTGAACAATTTGGAGAAAACCGAAATTTGGCACTTTAATTACTTTGCGAAGTACACCAAAACCGTACGTATGTTTGGGTGGATCATGAGATTTATTACCAATTGCAGACGACCCGACACAAAGAAGTCTGGTGAACTCGACGCGGACGAGCATAACGCGGCAGAGGTACAAATCTTGAAACTATTGCAAGCGGAATGTTTCACTGGATTGAATGACTCATTACGTCAGGGGGTGTGGTCCTATACTGTCCTTGTCACTCCGTTAAGTGATCTGGTTTCGTTTTCTCTGCGCCTTTCTTCTTGGGCCTTTATTTGCATAATCTCCCTTAACATGTCGGTGGTTCCTTTCCATCCGGCTTCTCCTTGTAGCATGATGTCCCCGATGTTGTTTTTGGATACTTTCATGCCAAACCCTAGTTCAAACTTTAGCCGGATATTCTGGAACCTTTAGCAGTGAAAGACTGTGTGTTCAGGGTTGGCTTGTTGCCCGCATAACCAGCAATCGTCGTTTTCTTGTTTTCCAATCCTTTTTAGATAGGTTCCAAAGACTCCATGACCGGTGAGCGCTTGGGTTACGTAATAGTCTGTCTCTCCTAGGCTCCTATCCGTCCATGCCGAGACACTCTTTATAAAGACCTTCGTCCATCCGGGATACTCATCCCATCTCTCCTGCCATTGCTGCAGCGTTATAGCTCTAGCCTCATTTTTAAAGGCTGGCCCTTTTTGCTCGATGTCCGTCCTTTCCTTTGCCAGTAGATCGATCGGGATCATGCCAGCAATCACTTCGAGTGCTTTGGTGGGAGCCGTTCTGTATGCGGACGTTATAAGGAGAGACAGCTTTCTGTTTATCCCCGTTAGGCAGTCAGCATAGTGTCGGTACCTCAGTGCTCCGTACCAGATAGATGCGCCATACAGAGTTGCAGACAGTACCGCTGAGGCGATTGTTCTCCTCTTGTGGGGTTTAGGGCCGCCCACTCTAGGCATTAACCTGTATAGAAGGGTCGCCATTCTGCTTGCCTTCTCTTCAGCGCGCTTGACGTGCGTGGTCATTTTTAAGTTCCTGTCGAGCGTAACACCGAGATATTTTACTGAGTCGGATGATCTGATCATTTGTCCCCCGATGTTAATTGATACGTCCTTGACTTCTAGGAGCAGCCAATAAGACGGTCTCTGTCTTAGCGGCAGCAATCCGGATCTCCATTTTCCTTAGGTTATGGATGATAGTCCGAACCGCAGATTCCGATTTGATAACGATGTCTTCTTTAGTTTTGGCTTTGACCAAGATTCCAAGGTCGTCCGCATAAGCGATTATTTCAATACCGGGCTCCAGCTTTGTCTTTAAAATCTTGTTGTAAAAAAGATTCCAAAGCGTTGGGCCCAGTTTTGAGCCCTGTGGGACTCCGCAGGTCATGGGGAAAGTTTCGTTGGTCGGATTTATAATGTTTCTGTCGGACAGGTAAGATTTCAGGATGCTAATTAGGTACCCCGAAATTCCACCGTCTTCCAGAGACTGGACAATGCCATTCCATGGGGCTGAGTTAAACGCATTCTCTATGTCCAGAAGAATCATCAAGCATATATCTCGGTGTTGATAGCTTTTGGTTTTTACCGCTTCAACGGAGTCTCTGACCTTCTGTATCGTGCTGATTGTCGATTTGCCTTTAGTGAATCCGTACTGATTTTCCAGCTCGAGTCCTTTATCCTGCATCCCTGCTTGAAGCCTGTTCTTTCCAGCACCTTGCCTGCGTCGTCTATAAGACACAGAGGCCTGTACGTTTTCTCGCCGTTTGCGTCCTTTTTGGGCTTCTCGATTAGCACCAGCCTCGCCCTCTTCCAGATCTTGGGAAATTCTGCGAGCTCCAAGCATTTGTTGAAGCCCGTTAGAAAATAGTACTGAGGTGATGCTGTCAGGTCCAGGCGCTTTATTTCTGTTCCTGCTGTTGATGGCGATTTGAAGTTCCTCCAAGTTGAAAGGTGGAATCACGTTTATCCCTTTCAGTTTCTTGCCAGATAACTTTGTTTTGCCTTGTGAACAGCTTTTGGATTTGTTTTTGGACCGTTTCTTCGTCCAGGGCTAATCTTGTTTTTAGGTTCAGCCTCTTGGTTATTATCTGGTAAGCTTTTCCCCAGGCGTCGTTGTCCAGGTCTTCGCATAGTGATTTCCACCTTTCTCTCTTACTTGCTTTTATGAGTCTCTTTAGTTCGTGTTTATTTTGCTGGTATTCCAGGAGAGTTGCGGCCAATTCGGTCTTTGTGGAGTGGCGTCCTCTTGCCCGTGTAATTCGCCTTCGCAGTGTGAAACATTTGTTTCTCTGTTCGGCTATGTCCTGGTTTCACCAGTATGTTGGGGTATGTCCCCTGCTACCTCTCTTCCTGAAGTGTTTATCCATCAGCTTCGAGATTTGTGCAATTAGGTGCTCCGGTGATGTTTCTGTTGGGCTGGCTCTGTTTCGAACATTGCGTTTGAAGTCCGTAACGAGGAGTTGCATGTTTGAGGGGTTAATATACCATCCTCCTTGGCGGTTACTGAATGTTGGCTCACTTCCCACATTTATGACCACTAGACCGTTCGCTAGTATCCAGCACTCTAGTTTCTTCCCCCGTTGGTTTACGGTCTTAGAGCCTATCATGCTGGATTTCGCGTTCAGGTCTCCCCCCAGGATTACTCCTTTGGTGGCGCCTTTGATCAGGATTTCAATGTGAGACAGCAGCAACTCAAAGTCCTCGATATCCCCATTTGGAGAGAAGTAGCAGGAGATCATCACGAGGTGTTCCAGCTCGACGAACACGAACCCTCTACCATTTCCACTGCTTATCACGCTGTGTCGGTTTTGGACCGTAATAAAGCTGTTGCTGTCCTGGTCCCGGTCTGCTCGTTGGCTCGAGTTTGGTTCCTGTCCCAGGACTACATCGATTTTTTCCTGTGCCATGGTCCTTGACATCAGTTCGTGTGCCAGCCTGCATCTGTTTAGATTTATTTGCAGAACTGACACCATCGTCGGGCTGTTCGCTATTTTTCTACCCTTGCCTCTGCTCATCATCAGGTGGAGTTGCTCCCTTGTTATTAGGCGCCCCTGTGGTTTTGGGCTCCCTTCTTGTGAGCCTCTGAGCCTCCTTCCTTAGTGCCTTCTTCACTTCCGTCAGGGAAGCCTTGAAGGCGTCACATTTGCCGCTTCCGGCTCTGTGCCCCTTCTTTTGGCATATGGGGCAGCTCGGCTCCTTGGTGCACTCCCTAGTTTGGTTCCCCACATGCGAAGCACAGTTTGGAGCGGTCCGTCCCTGTGCAAATCCGCCGCTGGTGCCCGTAGGACCAACACTTGCTGCATCTTTGCAAGTTTATCCTGGCTTCCATGCTGCATCTGACCAACCCAATCTTGATATGTTTCCCTTCCAGCAGCTCGTTAGCCATTTCCCTCCTGATCAATAGGGTTACGGCCTGCGTGCAGTTAGCGTTCGGCCTCAGGTCGCTTAGGCTATAGTCGCTTTCCTTTATGGAGCTGAATTTTCCATTTAGTGCGGCGACTAAATCCTCTTTTGTGGCTAGGGATTCCAGCCCTCTGATGTGGATTGGCACTTTGTCGCTGTGCCTACCGACGATTCTGACGTGCTCCGCCACATCTTTATTGCCGTGGAGCGCACTTCTTATTTCCTCCACAATTTCCTGCTGTTTATCGGTTGTAATCAGCAGCCTGCCGTCTCTTGTGCTGCGCAGTTCTTTGATGCCCTCAGCTAGATTATTTTCCATAAGTGTCTTCTTAACACTTTTCAGGTTTTCCTCATAGGACTTCTCCTTATTTCCCACCACTAACGCAAAGGTCTTCCTTTGTTTGGTGCCTATTTCACCCCTTGCCCCAAGTTTTTTCCCTATTGTCGTGGCCTGGTTCAGTGCGTTTGCTCTGGTGAATATCTCCACTTTACTTTCCGTATTGTGAAATATCCCCTCCAGCATTTTCCTCAGCCGTCCGGTTTTTATGCCTCTTGTCTGGTGGGTGGCTATGCCTTTGTCTCCCGCCGTCTCTTCCTGCAGTCGGGCCAGCTTCTTGAAAAGGTCCTCCTC